TCCCTACAGAATATGGTTACAGCACTCTTGCTGTTTTACTTATTACTATTGGATCTATGTTTGGTACAACCCTCATTTTATTTAACTCCTGTCAAGAAATCTATACACTCATTTTACAGCTGTTTGTTGGTTTGGCTGTTGGGACTCTTTCTGGAGATGCATTGCTACACCTTATTCCTCAGGTAGGTAACACACACTTCTGTGCTTTTAAAATGTTGACACATAGATGCACACGCACAACACACACACACAGAAAAGTTTAATTTAAACCTGGCTAATATTCATCTGTTTAAAAATAAAGCTTTCCATGAAATCCGTGAACCAGCTACCCAACATTTCAAATACAATTTCAAATGTAGTTCAGAGACAGATTCCAAGTAGCAAGAAGCAGAAACCAATGAGTAATGAATTCAGAAAAAATCAAGTTCTTATTTTCACAAAAGTTTTCCACAAAACACACAAGCCCTGTGCAAGCTATGTTCCTAGATATATTAAACTCTTCTATGAGGCAGATTCTGTAATACATTTTAGGAGAAATTGTTCAAAGTTTGTATGAGGCATCCACAGTCTCCTCTACATATTATTCCAGGGAAGCAGGGGCTATTATCCTAATTAATCCTGCTACCTAGAACTGTAATAAAATGTGTGTTATGATATTTTCCTAAATTAATTAAATACATTTTAAGACTAGGATAGTGTGTAAAACAGAACCCAAATTTTCCGTGATACATTCATTTATTTTTGACTGAGCCTCATCTGATATGATACAACTGTTATGAGTAGGCTTCAAATGGTCATTGAAAGAGAGCTTCACACCTTCACTTGAGATTCTGGTCAAAATGTTCTTTGTACTCAATGCTCTATCTCTGGAAGCAGAACTGGTAGAGTGTTTTAAGGAAGGCAATTCTCAGTGAATATCAGACAAATGTGTGTCATTAAGAAACACATTTGAGTGCAAAAGTATTCTCCTCCATCAGTTTTAAGTGACATAGCCACTAGCCTTTAAAATGCCCACAATCAGACCAAAGGCGGGTTGTGCCACTGAGAAAAATGGAAGCACATCCACCAGCGAAAGCTTTCTGGATTATTTTCAATAAAAGTTTACATCTGAAGATGATGCAAGTAACTTTTTAGACTTTAAAGATCAACGTACCCTAAACAAAATATACCATAAATATATCTATACATATGTAAAGGGAAATTTTATAAAATCGTCTCTATAAATGTCACTTTCACCACTGTGAGATGATGAAGTTAGCAGAGGCTCCTAATAATTCATTTCATCCATCTACTATTCAGCTGATTAGCTCAAAACAAAATCTAAATTTGAAAGAGAAGGAAGAAGAAAATGTCGATAGTAAATCGAATTAACACGCTACGGATTATCAAAAATTAAAGCATTGTCATTTTAATTCTTTTTTCTTTATCTCTTTTTCTTTAGACTCTTGGTTTACACAAACATGAAACACAAGAGGTAGAACATTTCTATGAGGGGAAAGAATATATTTGGAAACTTCTGGGAATGATTGGAGGAATTCATGGATTTTTTCTCATAGAAAAGTGTTTCTTTCTTCTAGTAACACCACGTGACCAGGTAAAGCTTCTACAGTTCATCCATTAAAAATCTCTTTTATGTTGAGATTTTACAGTGCAAAAAATGTTAAAATGATTGCAGAAAATATTTATAATTTGCATGAGTTAAATGAAGCATTAAAAACTGCTTTCCAAACCGTTCCTACCAGCTTGATATCTGATTTCTATTTTGCTTTGCTCTATGGATTTTGTATGCTTCTTGAATGTGTTCTATATCTTTATAACTCAAGAAGCTAACAGTTATTTGAATGTGTTCCATAATCATGCTTTCATGACTAGCACTGGAGCAGGTGAAGAGTACGTATCTATATGAAATAGCAATGACAGTTGTTTACTCTAGGCTCTGTTTGAAGAGGAGGAAGACATAAATGTAAACACAAGATAATTTCAAGAATGATGCCTTAAAATTTCCAAATTGTTTTTGACCCCTACCCCAATTGATCTGAAAACCCAATATGTATGTTGCTGTCAGTAGAACCCAATCTTATATTAAGATAATATCTCCTTGCTCATTGCCTTGCTTATAGCAATTCTATTACTGTATTTCAGTGCGGCTGGTGCCTGAAAATACGGTTATGCACAGGGATATAATGTAACACAAAGTGTGATAGCTCATTAAGTTTCTCAGCATGGGAGGCTATAAAAAAGGCTAAACCTTTGCTTGTCCTGTTTTACAGAGAGTGTTTAATGATTGGCCTGATTTAGATACATAACAATGAATCCCCCCACTATCTTTGAATCAGCCATAAGAATATCACGTGAGATTAATAGAATGAAAATATTTTGATGATGGTGATATTTTGCTTGTTTGGTAAAAAGTACTCCTTTTTGTTACTTATTTGGAAAGAAGGGCTTTATCATCATTCCACAAAATTTCAAGCTTGTTCTACTGAGAACTATATGAATTCTCAAAGTTAATTTTTATACCCATCTCAGCTTCAAATTTTAATCTTCAGTTTTAATACAAAATAAGTTTTATCAAACCATTATAAATGTCACTGATTTATCTGATTCCCTCATCAGGATTTTTTTTTTTTTTTTAAATCAAAAAAACCATTAGGAAATGTTGATACCAGCTAAAAATCTTCTTCAATAGGGTTTGTTTTGTAAAAACTAATTCTTGTAAATGGTAATCTTTTACAAAAGCCTGAGAAAGACTGCACCTGTATTCACTGGGTTTCAGAACTAATTGCAAAGCATCTTCATTCAGCAGGGCCTTTCTTTAGTTAATGGGCACTGGGGACATTCCCATGGTCTTCCAGTGGAATCTGAATTAAACGAACATTCAGGGAGAGGCAAATCTACTTCAACCATACAGTTGGTAGGTTACAAATATGACATACTTCCCTGATTTTATATCCTTCTTTTTCTGTTCCTCAAAAAAATGAACCAAATTAATGTCATAAATCAGTATTTCAGTCTTTATTGATTTGTCCTTTATTACATGACATAATTGTCAGGAACCTCCAGATTTTGGAGTTTATAATGAGCTTTTACAGTGATTTTAAAAATGGATTCTTACAATAACTTTTCTTAAGTGTGTATCAGATTTTTATAACAATATACTTCCTGTTCTACTACTTGTTGATCAAAATTTAGAAGAATTTTCTCCTCCCTTCTTCTTAAAATATTATCATATGTAAGGACAGACTCTCTTATGGGAAAAACTGCAGTATGGGTTAAGTGCACAATTAGTGAACAGATGAAATCTTGGAATGTTCTTGGGCACTTTCTACAGTTTTGAAGAGTAACAAAAACAAGCTGCGTATCTGGTAGTAGTGCTTACTTATAAGAAATTACATAATCTTCTATTGGTGGAGACTATCCAGACAGATATATCTTTGCAAACTAAATTGACTCATATCTTTTAACCTGTTGTGGTTTGTTTTCCTCAACAAATCTCTTCATTTTCTGTGTAGAATCTAGATACATAGGTTCCTGGTTATTTCAATCAGGATCGTCAGAGATCTACTATAATGTGACCTCGAGTTTACTAACACAGTTGTGATGGACAAGAACCTCATGAGGCACTGCTAATCTTTCAAATACAATTAGGAAACCCTCAATTGAATGCAGTGCAGCAGACCATTGAAGGATGTTTACTAATTTGTGAACTACCTCATAGTTTCCTGTTTATGATAATGAACAACCTTGTCATTCCTCTCAGCTGCAAGATCCCCCTAATATTATGTAGATCACATGAACTAGCTTGGCCTAGCTAGTTTCTACAAGAGTAGCCAATTTTTCAGAACCTTGTAAGTAATAGTAAGACAAACACTGGTTGACTGAGAAAAGCTTATAAATCCTTCAGGTCAGTGATTAGTCTTGTAGTTTTGACTCAGAGTTCAAAGAAGTGGCATGTGAATAAATATTATAAGAGAAGTGGAACAATTATTGGAATTCATATGACTGGCTGCAGTCATGGTAATGAAAGACTTATTTTTCTTTTAAAATGTAGAATTTAAAAACCAAATCCTTTCCCTTCCCTCCTCGTGCTGCTACAGCACATATCCCACATCACAACCAAGCTAATACCAGCCAAGAAACATATTCTGTTTTGCACAAGTGCACATCTCTGCTACAGTCTGTGGAGTGGT